CACAGATATGACACCTTTCATTGGGATAATACGGGACAATGATGATCGCTGTAGCCAGTGGATTTTTCAGGGCCCCCTGTTTTCACTCAAACCCAGATGGATCCCAAATATGGTCTATATTACATTCCATACATATATAGGTTGGTGTCCGAAGATCTCATGTCTTTTTTGTTTCGAGGTCACCTTCACCCCAAGCGTTTTCCGGGATGTTTGTATCAGTAAAAATAAGCTGGCCACTTGGATGATATAATGCGCAACGTGACCAGCCATTTGTAGGCCCAGAAACTTTGATTGTCTGATTAAACAAAAACACGGGTTAATCCACCATTTGAGGAATCTACTGGAATGATGGTTTTCTTACCCTTAAGGCCTCCTTAAGCAAATCCAAGGTTGCAAGGTACCCGATGTTTGACACACAACGCGCAATGTCCATTGAGACACACAGCTGAGGCAAGTGAAGTTGCAAGCGGCCGCCTGGAGATTGGAGTCAGGGCTCTCAGTGGAGACTAGAGGACTGTAAGAAGCTGGGAAGAGGACCAGGTAATCCCAGACTTTTTTGTGGTCGGTGGTTTCAGCGGCTTTTATGTACCCAAACATAGGGTGATGATGATGAGGAGGAGGAGGATTAGGACTACAATGATGATGATGATGATGATGATGATGATGATGGTGATGGTGATGATGATGATATTTGCACAAACATTAACCACCATGCGTCATAGTTTGACATATCATGTGGAAGTAAGTATGGTATAATCATCTGACATTCCATTCTAGCATTCTGTTTGACATTCTATTCTGGCGTTCGATCTGGCATCCATTCTGGCGTTCTATTCTGGCATTCTTTCTGTCATCTATTCTGGCATCCTATGTGGCACTTTTCTGGCATCTATTCTCTCGTATTCTCTGGCATTCTATTTGGCATTCTTTCTGTTGCATTTTCTAGCATCCTATCTGGCATATGTTCTGGCATTCTATCTGTCATTCTTTTCTGGCGTTCTATCTGGCATCCATTCTGACATCCTATTCTGGCATTCTTTCTAGCATCTATTCTGGCATTTTCTCTGGTTTTTTCTGTCGCATATTATGTCCTTGCATTCTATCTGACATTTTATTCTGGCGTTCTATCTGGCATCCATTCTGGCATTCTATTCTGGCATTTTTTCTGGCATCTATTCTGGCATTTTCTCTGGCATTCTATTTGACACGTGTTGAAGTCCGGCAGTGCCCACCGAGATCCGGCACTCGCAGTCGAGATCCAAAGCTGCGGGAGGAGAAGGAAGAGGAGAAAGCAACTCTGATATAATCTAGAGACCCTCACCCGGCAGGTGGGGAACAACTCGTACTTGGATGCAACCAGGAAGACAAAGTATTCCGCTGAGTCGGCGCCAATCACTGGCCATTTGGGTGCAAATCTTGGATACGAATTCTTGTTCTGAGCCTGAGCCAAATAGAACTAGTACCATCTCCCTTTGCCACGATTTGTGATTGACAATCATTTGGCGGTTTTCCATAGTCACTCTCCAGTCGTCACAAACCTGACGCAATTCCCATAGATTTTTTACAATAAGAACATGAATGGGGTTGTTTCCATTGCTACTATTCACATACCAAAAACTCATGAAGCGGGCACACTAGCCCACCTTGACTTTGAAAATCCACCAATTGATAGTTTACAATGAACCAATTTAGATATCGTCCATGTTTGGAACCACTTCAATATATTTTAAATCATCCCGCATGTTCGTGCCGAGGCTCCAATTTCGAGGCACTAAAGATGCGCTGGGAATTTCCCGGAAAACCCTGGTTCTCATATCTTTGGCACGGGGTTCCATCATATGATTGGGCGCGTGTGGAATCAAGAAACGCAGTGCAATAGAAACCATGATCTCTGGTTAGTTGTTGTTGATCATAGACTTGCTACTTGCACTTTCCATGACTGCAAATAATAGGTCAGGAATCGGAGGTCATCCCCCCTTTGACCCTATTTTTGTTTTCAATTCCAGTGGCCACACTTAAAGTATCATGCTAACTAACTAACCAACCTGAGGAAACCTCCACCTGGGTTTGTCTGAAAACAAACAGGCCAAACAATTGATGTTTTTTTTTAACGTTCCTTTGTAAAACTGCCATAAATCAGGGGGTAAATCACTGATGTTTTGACAAACCCATGTCCATTTTTTCCCTGATTTATTGATTGAATTGCATTACTGTATGTTAAATGTTTATTTGATTTCACAAGTATTGCCTATTATATTATTGCATTAGATTAGATTACATAATATTACCCCCAGGCCGGGTGTGCCGCCGAAGGTTTATCATGTGACCAACTCTTTAGGGTTTAATTAGAGTTTGTTTAGAGTTTGTTTAGGGTTTGTTCAAGGTTTGTTTAGGGTTTCATTTAGGGTTTTTACATGTTTTTTTACCACGGTTTCCGGTTTCAATAAAATATTATTTTCAAGGCGTAATTAGGGTTTCAGCTCAGATTCAGGTTTTAGGGTTTAGGATTTAGGGTTCAGGGTTTTGTGTTTTGGAAACAAATCTCGTCAGCTAAGTTGCAAGTTGGCCGACATCCCAAAATGCATAAAACACTTCGCAGTCAAAACGCACTTCCCCGGGCAGCACACCCGTCCTGGTCGTATATTACATCATATGTTTCCCGTATTAATTGATTGATGATTGATTTCCCTTGGTTAGAGACACACAGACCGCAAGGACAGTCCTTAGCCTTGGACGGTCGCTTCGCAACAGAAAATGAGCGCCACCTGATGGATGGTATCCTCACGAAAGGGGTCTGACAATTTGGTTATTTTTGGTTATAACATTATAACATGTTATAACCAATATAACCAATGGCATTTAATGGGATTCAATGGAATATGAAGAACATTGGATTAAATGAATTATTAGTGGAATTTACATTGAATGGGACACGCATATATGTAAATGTAATCATATATATATCGATAAACCATAGGAATCGGAACTTTGTGACATGGGGGCAGCCTTTTTTGGGACAAGACCAAATCGGTAGTTACAGGGTACATGGGTTTTAGTTTCATGATTATGTATACAGTAATTATGTACGGCATGTGACACTCGTGCCTACTTAAGTATCTCATATGAATGTGACAGGGACACGTTCCACTGACGTTCGTGCAGCAGCTGGAATGTTGATGATGGATGGCTGTCCACCGTTGTGACTTTCCATGCTGTACCTAGTTTACATACTCCACTGGGTATCTAAGATCATCCACAATGGGCTGTGGCCACCCGACTGCCAAAATTAGTAGATCCAAAAAACTAAACCAAGGTTTGATGTGTTGGCATTGTATATTGTTGGGAAAGAATAATGTTGCTTTACCAAGTGACGGAACTTCGCTTGATTTTCTGAGCCATTTGTGGTGTGTGTATACATATATATATATATATGTTGGGAACCATATTCTCTTCAATTCCCTCATTTCTTTGTGTTTTCAACGCATGATGTTTCCATCCTCATTTGTAAAACAGAAAGATGATGAGATGATTGTTTTTCTTATTCAGTGACTACCTTTAGAAGAGCAATGTTTTTTCTTCTTCCAAATCACTTGTGGCTCAAGACGGTCACCGATCTAATTAAAGGAATGCCCAGGCGCCCTCAAATCTGTATCTCAAAATTCAACCGCTACCCCAGGAGAGAACGCAACAACCTGGCCCGGTAGGCAGGTAGTCTCGATGTGAAATGAGCCAAAGCAAATCTGCAGCGTGTTGAAACCATGTGTTCCAGGTCAAGGTATACCAGGTATAAGTTTCGGCGAACCACATCATCCAGCTGACGTTTCCTCTTACCATGTGTGCGAATCGGATGTAGATCTCTGATTGCAATGTCTTCACGCAGCGTCCTGGCACCCCCAAGTTGAGCCAACGGTCATCCACGGGCCTCCTGGGTGATTTCTATACAGATTCATGTATCGTTTGTTACGGACAGATCTGGTTGGTTTGATCCCTATTTCTCGCTTGTGAAAGCCCTCATGTGAAAAAGGTGAATATCGTTTATTGCTTGGTGTCCCCACTTCATTGCTGATTATTCTGCAGGTGGATCCCTATTTCATTTGGTTGGTTCAGATCCCTGCTTTTGTTTGTCAACATCCCATTGTTTGTTTCCAATTTGATCCGCTGTCATCCCATATGTTCAATCTGATCAACATTGTGGCACAGAGGCTAAAAACCTAGGGCTGGAGCGCCTGGTTTTAGCCCACAGATGGCTCTGGCCATAGTCCCATAAACGTTAAGCAAAGGATTTCACTTTTTGGTCGAAAAACCTTAAGCGCCGGTATTCAGCCAATAAGATGATTGTTTTTTTTGAATTTTATCCAAAGTTGGATTTTCAACATGAGAATTAGTGAAAGGCTGAGGTCACTGGTTTTCATCCAGAAACTGTTTTTCCAAATAATTCAGCAGCTACCCAGGGGGAACTTCAGCTCACAGGTTTTCATCCACACATATAATTTTTGTCACAGAAACTTGAAGTGCTCACAGCCTAAACCCTTAGACCCAGGCAAAGGTTTTCCTTCACAAGTTGTTGATGTTGTTGCAACTCTGGGGCACCAGAAACGTTAAGCAAAATATTTTATTGGTTGAGAATTGTACCTCACACACCATTTTATTGAAAGTTTTTAGCCCTCAGTGGGGGCTGAAAACCAGGTTGCCTGTACAAAATGCACACCAGATGGAGATAAGCTGCTATTATATGCATATATATAGTGTATAGTATATAATGTACATGAGATTTCCTGTAGATGTCCATTATTATGTTCGTAAATCCCCATCTGTTCAAGCAAAAATTATTCGAATCCCATGGGTTCATGGCGAGATCACTGATGGATCGGATCCAAAAAAACCCATCAAAATCGTTTTTTTACCGGTTAAACCCATTAAAATTTCATGACATCATCATTTTTGATGGGTTTTTTCATGACATCCCATGGATTTTCCATCAAGAAACCATCAAAAAAGCCATGGAAAATCCATCATTGGGCGTCCACCTGTCACCAAGGCCCGCGGCGGCCACCGAGTGGTGGCAGTTCACCTTCGCGCAGCGAGGGGTCAGGGGAGCGTTCGCCGCGGACGCCAGGGCCCCCGTGGGGACGATGTAATTATGGCTGGTATATGATGGGAATATATATTATGTATGTTTATATATATACATTCATAAGGGAGATGTATGTATAGATATTTTATTAATGAGTACTTACTCAGATATTTTATTAATGAGTACTTACTCTAAGAACATCTCGGAACATACATTTTGTCAACCTGACATATATATATATATTGTATAATTTGCATATGTATATATATACATATATTACAACATGTTAGAACAAAATATGCTGCGCATATCACAAGATACTGGTATAATTGAATTTCGGTGTGTTTGGATTTCACACTGCTTGGGTTCCTACACAAGTAGCTTCTTCTTTGGGCAATGACTACGGGCATGGATCAGAATCAACGACCTGAGGGACCACATCTTTCGGTGGAACATATGGGACAATGATGATAAACCATTGGATGCAATGGGGTACCTTATTTTCAGTGCCGGAATACACATCTTACTGGTGCTAAACGTAGGGAATGGATGGGTTGCCGGGGGTTGCTGGGATTATCATTAATAGTTATTGTGGATCATTCCCGAAAACTCCCTACTAAGCACTAGTAAGACACATTATAGATGAATTATTTTGCCAGACATATCTGGTGACTTGAAACATGTGGTGGCTCAAACACCAATCAGCCTTATTCCAAGAGTTTCTCATCGTGTTGTTTTCAGTTCACGTTGGATGTTTTTCCAGATATAGAGATTTCCTGAAATGGGGTACAGCACCCCAATTCATCCATTTCAGTAGGATTTTCCATTATAAACCATCCGGCTATTGGGATACCATCATTTTAGGAAACCCCCATATAAACAGTAAGTGGAGCCACTGTCCCGGTCTGGGAGCAGTGCAAGATGGGAATCGTCAACCCCGGGACATCTGCCAACCAATACGCGCCATGCATGTCTGTAAATTGTAAGATACGCGTCCTGAGTATTTGTAGGTCAAGTATCAACGTCGTTTTTCTTGGTTTTTTTATACACATTACCCTCTGGTAAACTAACAGTTTGCTATGGAAAGATCCACCATTTTTCATGGGAAAATCCACTATTTCTATGGCCATGTTCAATAGCAAACTGTTGACATAACCAGGCCGGGTACTATTTTTCTGTGATTATTTTAAGCTGGAAAGTCCCCTGTTAAAAATCCGACTCGATGTCAAACTTTGAAAAACTTTGATATGTTTCGAACATGGTAATATCATGTAATATAGATATGTGTATAATGCATGTGTGTACAATATATATATATATATAAATATTATAATATGTATACCAGCACCTTCCGAGGGGTGGTGCTATGTATGTTTTCAGGCAATTTCTCTAGGGGTATGTTGATAGTAGCATTTAACAGGGAGAGATGGTTGGAGGCGAGCTGGACAAAAACAAGTTGATTTTTGGATTTTCACATGTTTGATTTTTTCCCTTCCATCTTTGATCCATCTTTGATCCATGTTCCCTTTCCGAGGCCTGTGGCTCAGCTTCGAAGTCACAAGTTGGAGCCGATCATTTTGCAGCCCAGAACACCCCGGCCTTTGAGCGCGGGGCGAGGAAATTCAAAAGGTGGGGGGGCGGCCATCATGGGTTGTTTTTATACCCAGTTGATTGGTGAAAAAACATGAAAAAACATGATTATTTCAATGTATCAAACAGTAGCAGTTTACTATATCAAATAGTGGGATTTGGGGTTATCAAATAGCTGTATTCAGCTACAATATGATATTGGGATTTTACTATATCACTGTGAAACAGCGGGACTTTGCTAACTCTAACAGTTGTATTTAATGCGTTAATAATATATTAGGATGTTATCAACTAGTAGGATTTTGGTATATCAACTAGCTCTGCTCCAATGACATATTGTTTTTTTGCTATATCGAATAGATTAATGTTGCTAATTAAACATTTATTGTATTTTGTTATGATCAAGTATTGGGATTTGAGCCACTGGGATTTGATTCAAATAGCCAAGTGGAGCTAAGATGATACTGCGGTTCCGAAATTCCCAGCTGATAGGTCGTTTATGCCATTATTTATAGGCTAGGGTTTCAACATGTTTCAACCAAGGCCCGAAGGCAGTGCTGGATTTTGCAACCATCCACCCCATTCATGGAGTGGTTGGTGGCACACTCACAACAGCGCAGTGCCAGTGCCATCATCGAAGTAGATGGGGGTCTTCTCCAGCACGCCATGTGCGACAGTGAAACCGTGAAACCAATGAGATCGGCTAGAGCCTATGAGGCTAGAAACATATGAAGTAACACTAGAACCGGAAGGCGTGTTCCGATACCTCTTATGTTGTTGGAAAGAGTTTTTACTGTGCCTGCTTCATGGATGCGTCAGGGCTGTGCAAGCCTTGTTCCCTGCAAAAAAAAAGTGATCACATAACTATGGTACAGGGGGGCGCGCAATAAAAACATGTCACATAGGGCACACATCCGAGATTTCAAGATTGCGCTGTCCGAGACTAGGAGCAAACGAGTTGAGGATCTTGTGGAACTTCAATATGTTGATGTTGATGTTGATGTTGTTGGTGTTGTTGTTGTTGTTGTGGTTGTCGTTGTCGTTGTCGTTGTTGTCGTTGTCGTTGTCGTTGTGGTTGTGGTTGTGGTTGTGGTTGTTGTTGTTGTTGCTGTTGCTGTTGCTGTTGCTGTTGCTGCTGCTGTTGGTGTTGTTGTTGTTGTTGTTGTTGTTGTTGTTGTTGTTGTTGCTGTCGTTGTTGTTTAACGTTGAACCCTTATCAGTCCATGGAATCCTAGGGGAGCAGCTCACAGTTCGTCAGGGACTGCCAGAGCGGTGGATTCGCAACTGCCTGCAGTGGTCACTGGCGATGCTCACAGCAGTCAGCCACATCAGCCACATCAGCCACATCAGCCACAAACAAGGCAGGTTGATTCCGGGAAGCCGTTGATATCCCTTAATATCCCTTAATCCTTCAGGGATGTTCCAACCAATTATGGGTGAATCATACTGATACTCGTATCCACTTTTTTGGTGGTGAATTTATAGTTTTATAACATGTTATATACTTCTTTATGTATCAAGTTTCCCTTCCTTGTATTTTTTGACTGTTGGGGGCAGCCTTGTCCTTTGTTGCTTCACTTCTGCGCGAACGTTTTAGGAATCCCTCGGAGGAATTTTTCACTGCTGGGTTTTGACTGAAACAGCTGACAACCTGGACCATCCTGCATCCTGGAACAGCTACCAGTTCACTACTTGTTAAGGCTCACAAATAAGTTCGACATATTTCAAGAACTGAAGGGGAAATCCATAAATGGGCATGGGTCCAAATTGAAGGGTCAAGAGCCCTCATGTTTTTATAATCCCAATCATCCCACCTTGTTTTGGTGCCGGACGACTTGATCCAACTCCAGGTTTGATGATCAATGGGGGGTTGTGTCTAGGGTGTCCATAAAGTGTTTTTTTTCCCCACCTGCCAGGTGAGGGTCTCTAGATTTTAACAAAGGTGTCCCGGCCTCACTCACTCCTACTCACTCCTACTCACTCCTTCCCTCCCTCTCCTCTCCTCGCCTACTTCTTTGCCATCTCGTCGCCGAACCCTATTGCCAGCTCCGGATGCAGCTGGGCACGCCTGAAGCCTAACTCTACAGCGCGAGCTCTGGAGGCAGCTGGGCACGCCTAGACCCGAACTCTATATCGCGAGATTTGGGGGCAGCTGCAGGCACGCCTTGGCCCGAACTGTATATCGCGAGCTCTGGAGGCATCTGAGCACGCCTGGACCGGAACACATGCCAGAGAGAATGCAAGAAAGAGTGCCAAACAGAATGCCAGATAGAATGCCAGACAGAATATCCGAATACGTGTCAGATACAATGCCAGAAAGATTGCTAGATAGAATGTCATATGTCAGAAAGAGTGCCAGAACGAATGTCTGAATAGATGCCAGATAGAATTCCAGAATAGATGCGAGATAGAATGCTAGGAGGAATGCCTGAAAAGATGCCAGATAGAGTGCCAGAATAGATGGCAGAAAGAATGTCAGAATAGATTCCAGCTGATTTCAGATAAAATGCCGGAAAGAATGTCAGAATATATGGCGGAAAGTATGTCAGAATAGATGCCAGAAAGAACGTCAGAGTATGTGCCAGAAAGAATGCCAGAATAGACAGAATGCCAGAATGAATGCCAGAAGAGATGGCAGAAATAATGCCAAAATAGATGCCAGATAGAATGCATGTCAGAATAGATGCCAGATAGAATGCCAGAAAGAATGTCAGATAGAATGTCAGAGTATATGCCAGAGGGCATGTCAGATAGAATGTCGGAATATGTATCATATGCAATATATATATATATATTCTGTCCAGATTGATATGTCAGAAGAGTGTGTCAGGTGTAAGGATTTTTGTTTATGGATTTGGGGTTTGTGAGATGGGGTCGTAAATGCAATTTTGTAGTAATTAGATGTATAATTAGTGGGTTTTATATGACTGGCGTTTATCATTTTTATTTTGAAGGCATGATCATTGATGGACACCAAACCCAACCACTCTGTAAGAGACAAAAACCAATTTTGTAAAGGTGTGTCAATGTAGGTTTTGTTTTCTAAATGTTGTCAATGAACTGTTTACGTGCAAAGACCGGATAACCATTTTATAGGGAACCAACCGTTCCTAGACATTTTGCATTTTGCGAATATATTGTTGTGTCATTTGATGTGCCAGATTACATTTGCCACGGTTGACAGTGGGAAAAGGGCAGTTTTGGCTGTCTTGCTGGCAGGGTTTGCATGAACATGTTAATTTCGTTGTAGATTTGTAGCCCCACGAAGTCCCCATGGATTACGACCTTACCATTTTGTAGGCTGGAGAGCTGGTTCAAGAACCATGTTGTAGACAAAGGCCTGTATACATTACAAAATGGTGCAACCCAGGGAACAGCAACCGGGATGTTCGATAGATCTACCATTAACCCGAGTTATGCATCTGCTTTCAACCAATTTTGCCAACAACGGGGCACCAAATTCCTTTCTTCGGTGGTTAAAACATTAAAACATACTGTACTGTAATTTTGATGGCTAATTATTATCATTATCCCCACAAGTCCTACGACCTTAAAAGTACATCCTTGAGATCTCATGGGACCTCAAAAAGTTGAGCCAGAGACTTGTTGGGCGTTGGGCATGTCAATTTACAAATAGAGAAAAATTACTTTACTTCGTGTGATCCCCACCATGACATTTATACATTTTCTTACTGGCAAGTCTTCTGGCATTCTATCTGACATATCTTCTGACATTCTATTTGGCATTCTATCTGGCATATCTTCTGGCATATGATCTGGCATATCTTCTGGCATTCTATCTGGCAAATCTTCTGGCATTCTATCTGGCATATCTTCTGGCAGTCTATCTGACATATCTTCTGGCATTCAATCTAGCATTCTATCTGGCATATATTCTGACATATCTTCTGGCATTCTATCTGACATATCTTCTGGCATATATTCTGACATATCTTCTGGCATATCTTCTGGCATATATTCTGACATATCTTCTGGCATTCTATCTGGCATTCTATCTGGCATTCTATCCGGCATTCTATCTGGCATATCTTCTGGAATATCTTGTGGCATATCTATCTGGCATATCTTCTGGCATATTTTCTGGCATTCTACCTGGCAAATCTTCTGGCACTCTATCTGACATTTTATCTTCCTACATGAGGTCCGGCAGGGAACACTTGGCGTGGATACTCGCGGTTGAGGTCCGGCAGGGAACACTGGGCGTGGATGGTCGTGGTTGAGGTCCGGCAGGGCACACTGACGTGGATGGTCGTGGTTGAGGTCCGGCAGGGAACACTGAGCATGGATGGTCGTGGTTTGAGGTCCGACAGAGAACATTGTGGATCGCGGGTCGCAGTTGGACGAGGACGACGAGGACGACGAGGACGACGAGGACGACAAGGACGACAAGGATGACAAGGAGGACGAGGAGGACGAGGAGGAGAGGAGGAGGAGGAGGAGGAGGACGAGGCAGGAGGAGGCGAGGAGGAGGAGCAGGAGGAGGAGGAGGCAACTGACATAAAATCTAACAACCCTCACCTGGCAGGTGGGGAAAAATGTTTGCCACTTTTGATTCATCATTTTTGCCATGTTTAATGGAATGCCATTATCATGTTTGCAATTTTTTGCCATTTTTTGCAATTTTTAATGGTCAAATCATGTTCACTCAGAATTTCCGTTGGACCTCAGGCCGCAAAACGCAGCACCGCTGGAGCCACGCGGTCGCCGCAACATGGCTCCAGGCGGTCCCGGTGCGGCCAAGGCGAGGGCCGGCGCAACGCGAACAACGCAAGCCGCTGGGCTGATGTCTATGGCTTAACCACGACTGAAATAGGAATATATCATGCACATCTATGTCTGGGAAACATGAGGGAATGTTTTTACAAAACAATGCCGGTGATATAAACCATCAATTTACATGGTTGGAGTATGATGACACTGTCTCACCTACATTAACCAATAAACTGGGTAAATTACAACGACCTCACATCTCGACCTCACTGGAATGGTTAATCAGGGGAATCATCGATCCCCAAAGGGCCGGTCTGTGAAATATTAAATGAATGTCAATGAGACAATCGTAAACCATCATAGGGACATACATGATGGGAATATTGATAGGCATGATGATGGGAAAAAAGGGTGATTTGGGGACTGTTGACTGTTTTGTGATTTACCAAGAAAAACCACATTGAACATGGTTTAACCATAAAAACTGCCACAAGGACATTAATCACACACTTTAGGATTTGTTCCGAGATACCTGGGTTCGTTTGATCGGTGTTTTTTCCCCTAAATTTACCATATTGGGGTGGGGTATACCAAGTTTTGTAAACTTGAGGATGGGGTGAACACGTGAACATTTACCATCAGAACCGGTTATTTTAGCCACCAGTTTCAATTTTCTGAACACATTTGGACATAAGCGGGTTGTTGAAGGGTGGTGGGATAGAACCAACCAACCTGACATGTTGCTGTTGTTGTTGTTTTTTTTTGTTGTTGTTTTTTTCATAGGGAAGATCCAATTCCATCCACTGGGTTCGAAGCTCATTTTCCCACAATTGCTGAGTACAGTATCATATTGCTGATTGGTTGTAGCCCATGTCATAGCCATTTATGATCATTTATGTATGTAATATGCACATTACTTACGTTGCTTAGCCCATTATCATGTTTTTTCCCATGGTTTTCACGGAGCTCCAACCGGCCACATCGAGGCGGCAACCTACGGCGGTAGTTCCATCGACAGCGGTAGTTCGGGCGGCCCAAAACCCACCCGTGGTGAATCGGTGACGCAGTGCCGTGGCAGCGTAGTATGGTGGTGGATAATGGTGGTTAATAGTGGTTAATAATGGTTAATCCATGTGGTTAATACTGATTAATGATGTTTAATGATGGTTAATAAGTTAATAATGGTTAAATGTCGATATGCTGGTTGGTGCTGACTGGAACCATGGAATTTTTATGACTTTCCATTCAGTTGGGAATGTCATCATCCCAACTGACTAATATTTTTCAGAGGGGTAGGTATACCACCAACCAGAATATAACGGCCAGGATGGGGGTGCCCGGCGAAGTGGATATTAACTGAGCAGGGCTGCTGTTTTGTGCATGTTGGTATGTCGGTGAAGTGGCGACATGGCTGACGCGACTTTTTCTCCAACACTCATAACCCTAAATCCAAAACCCTAAGACCTACATCTGACCTGAAGCCCTAAGTAAGCCTCGAAAGTAAAATCTGTTCAGAACTGTGGTAAAACCCTAAAATAACAAAATGAAACCCTAAACAAACCCTAAACAGTTGGTCCCATGAGAAACTTCTGGGCGGCACCCCCGGCCTGCGGGTAATATTATGTAATGGTATATCATATGATTAAAATGGGATATGATATGACTAACAAATATGATATTTGGTTTTGTCTGAAATGGAGTATATTATATTATATTATTCCCGAATAGCAATTTTAGGCAGGAAAACAAGGTTTCAATCCGTTTTTTTGAGTACGCTAGTTTCAGACAATCTTGAGATAGTCTTGTTACGACGTGGTATCTTTGTTGAAATGGGAGCTATGTTTGGTGTGGTGTATATATATATACACATTATGAGACAACTCGGCGTTTGCTGCGGTTTTAATATTAAACAAACAGCCACATGTGTATGCTTTGACTTGGGATGGATACAGTGATGATTGTTGTGTTTGATCCAGAACAAAGTACATGCATAACTAGTTGATTTGAGATTTCACTGTTGTTGTGTGATGTTGTTTAGGTAGACTGTTCGAACCATTGTTTAAGGATCTTTACATGCAACATAAACATATTTGGCACCTATCTATGGTTTGTGTTTCATCGTATGTTGTTTGTGCCTTTGTATCTGGAGACCCTTTCGTATATATGCCTGTACACGCAATCAATGTCGGCCAATTCCCAGGGAAACAGCCGTGGTTGTGTCTGAAGATTGCGTAGGAAAAAAATAGTTGCAAACCATTGTGTTTTCCCGTAAATGTTCGGAGAAAAAAGTCAACTATGCTTTATCATCATCAGATGTCAAATAATATATATTATATAGATGGATTTGATTCAAACATCAATCCCAAAGTGGGACAGCATAATTAACCATGTAAGATCATGTAGATCCATGTAGCAAATATAAAATGGATGATCAATGGGATGTAAGAGATGATTTTTACCATGAAAATAAGTGGAGGTTAGACCAAAAGTTGCTGACAGCTGAGCACAACCAGGTATGCCCAATATGGACCACCCACAGTTCCAGTTCGGCAGCCTGTCCAGCCGGTGCAAGTTTCTGCCGTGCAAGCGGCGCCGCCAACAGGGCGAGTTGACCCTTGGAACATGCCATGGGTCAAAGAGTCTGCAAACCCTTGGGACAAGTGATGCTAGATGATCCACCGTTGACAACATATGTATATATATATAACATACGTATATATACATTATATAATCATTATAATTTATATATACATACATATTAATATATATATACATACATATCAATATATATATATATATATATTTATACATTTGATAATATATATATATGATTTGTATATGTATATATAGTGTATTATATATGAATGTTCGGGTACCCAATTTTCTGACAGCGCCATGTGGCTGGAGGGGAATGCATCTTCAACAACCTTCCATGACGGTGGTTGATGCCATTGTGGATGATTCAAACTTGACAAACCACTGACGTATCAGGAAACTTTACCCAAGGATCGTTTGAATGGAAGCAGTTGTGGCAGAAATAAAACAAGAGTATCTATGGTGACCATCATGTTTTAGATATGCTATTATGCTGTATGTTCATCAACATTTCATGGCCGAAATAGAGAACTGGTTTGTTGCCACAAGGTTCATATATTAGCAAGTTTTGTGATTCTCTGGCCAAAGAAATCAGGATCATCGCAAGGTTCGTGTTTCGTACTTATATGTGTCCATGCCACCAGTGGAGACGATCTAGATATCTTTTGAGATATAGGTTGAAGCCAAATAAATACACCAAACATGCGAATATGTTGCTACAAGACACATGTCATTTATAGCATATGGGTTTACCTGAATATGGGGTACCCCCTAAGAAAAATGAACATACTGGGGTACATCCCCATTGTGGAACCAACCTATATATATAATTATATATTAAACACATAAATCAATATTTGATACCATCTGTTTATCTAACCTAGCTATGGAAAATGGTAAGTTTCTATATGATTTTACTTGTCAAAAGAATCCATAGCTATCTTTGGATTTCTGCAGGGCCTTCTGACATCACCCCCATATAGCCCTGGCATCACCGCCTCGCCCCAACCAGGACAGCCCCTTCAGCGATGCCACTCCGAGCCCTGCCAGCCGTGCCAGCCGCCACACACGGCGCTCGGGGCGCTCGGGGCGCTCGGTGGCGCGCTCCAGTTCCTACGCCGGCGGCGCGACGGTGACCAGCCCGGAGAGCCGGAATCCGTCCACAAGAGGCTTGCGGAATGGTGGGGAGAGCTTGGGGGATGACTTAGGTAACCACCTAATTCATGTTTGACCACAAACACTCTGGCGATTTCTACTTTTGCATCCTTTAGTATAATGGTTTTCGGTATTTTTCACCCATACAAATGAAGGAGAAGATCTTGGGGAATGTTTGGAAAGATGGGGCTACCTATATGTTTGATCTGCACCTAGAACATACATGTGGATTGATAATCCATCGTACACATACACTAACCAACCCAACTTACCTATATTGTACTGTACCCGCACGATGGACTGCAAGATTCAGCAGCTTCCAACTCCAAAAGGCTTTGAACCTCTTGGCCAGTCCAAGATCAAAAGGAGTTCCTTGCACATTGTGCTGTTTGTTCCTCTATTCTTGGGCAGAAGTGCTTATTTCTTTCTGCCATCAGTTCATCCCATGTAATTCGGGTTTTAAGAGATTTTGATGCTAATTTGAGGGGCCTTTTCTCGAGTTACAACACCTGATGTATCAGAGATATCGCCGTGGCTGTGCCGTGGCTGTGCCACCAAGGACAGGAGAACCTGAGCCAGGCACCATCTGCCGCCAGTCGAGCCTACGGGTCACGACGGGTGGGCTCCGCAGCGCCAAACCGCATCGCCAAGTATGGTGGAGCCCCTCGGCGCGGAGTCAGAAGGTCCAGGTCGATTCCAGGTCAATGAGTTATATTATCTGGAGAATACCTAGCTGATATAATAATTAAGCATGATTACTGTATACAGTTTTTGTCTAGTGCATGTGTATATATATATATACATGTATGTGTTATATATATATTGATTTTACATCATGAAATCGCAATTGATCCAGGCATCGGAACCACCAGTATCCAGCAGTTGCCCTTGTGACCAGGGCTACTCTACTCTGCTTTGGATCCATCACAAAATGAAAAAAAACTAGACCGTGATTGGCTGAAAGGTCAGGAGGGAAAGTTATCGGTGATAGTCGATTTATACATATATAACATATAATGGATTATAATGGTATTAAATATATGTATCTATCTATATATATATATAACTGGACATCCAAAAGCTGCATTTTTTTGGTCTGGTTTGGACTGAAAAGTAGTGAGCGACCAAAAATCGAACAATTGCTGATTTTGCCCTCTGTCAGTCACATTTGGAAGAACCACAAATATAACGCAAAATGACGCAGAAAAGACGCGAAAGACCGACTTTTTGACACCAAAACTGTGTCATTGAATCCATCACTCTTAGCCCAAAAGTGATTGTTAGGCCCGCACCCGAAAATCCACAAAGATCGAAAATTATGCGGCTCAAGGACTGTCCAGGTATGTATGTATATATATATATATTCACATACAGGAGAACATGAAACAAACATGAAATTTCCTAAGATATTTGATCAGGGTCAGGGACATGTTTGTAGGATGTATGAAAGAGATATACTTGGTATGTGAAACATGTGCGGAGTGTATGTGTGTGTATGTGAGTGTCAGGTACACAAAAGATAATACTGTACGTGTCGGGTATATAATGGTATATACAAACAAACATATGCAAAAGGATATGTGCAAGGTGTGTGTGTGTGCATTTGTAGAAGGAATAAATGTAAAGTTGCATTGAACAGTGTAAACATGTTTGCAATGTTTTGTGTTTGTGTTATATATTTATGTAGATATGCACAATGGGTTTCTCTGTACTGCAAATTTCTGCAGTCAGAATGTTCTGTGTTTTTTTCAGAACTATCAGGGTGCAGCGCCCTTGGGATGAAATGTGGCCTCAAACATCCTCCAACATGGAAGAAATGTGAAGATCAATGATAAGTTTATCTATACATTATGTGAAATGAGAACAACAAAGAACCTTCACTCATGAATTCATACACTTGAAACAACGTACTCAGTTTGCATCACTGTTGTTGAGTATATATATGTATATATGTAAATATATATATATACATATATGTTGTTGATTCTGGTCTATTTGCTTGATTGACTCGATGCACTGATCCCTAATTCTGAGCACTCTTGGGTCGACATTGCAAGTGCCCTTTTGCCCCTCGAGAATCCAGCATGGGACTAGACATGTCCTATAGTAGCTGAGTCAATTCAGACAATTGGAACTCGTTCAACTTGTTCATTGCCATGATGGATCGCAAGATTGCTCGTTGGTGGCTTCGTTCAAGATAATGGAAATGAAATAGTCTTCAACCATTGGGCATTGGAGTGAATTTAAAGATCAGACATAATTAGTTATTTAATATTTTAATGTTATTTATTGATATATATAATTATATATATAAAGATAACTATAAACATGAAATACTGATATGAATGATGATCAAAATTGACAGGGGCCTTTCAACCACTAGCCACCAGAGTGTTTTACAAGGTGGTCCCGTCCATTTTTTTCAGTCAATCCAAGCGGCGCCACAAGGTGAAGAAAGCAAAGACCAGAGTTTCTTGGAACTGGGGAGTGATTTTTTTGCCTGGTATCCTATATCCTATAGTGTCCAGCTATTGGGCAATTATTTACCCTTAAATTAATGGTTAATAACATTGACCCACGGTCAACTGACGATTTCTTTTTTTCCATTTTGTTTATTCATTGTGTTTGCTTCTGCACAAACACACAAGTTGAAGTCCGACGCATGAGGTGATTCAATCCACAGGCCACTTTTCCCCAAGGTGACCACATTGTTTGGGTCACGTAAAATAATTGCGTGAGAGTTCTTTCAATTTCACTAATTTCTTGGGATTCAAAAAATTGAGCCATATTATATATATATATATATATGTGCATATAATATGTACATATATATATATATATTTGCTGTTGGAACGTCAGGTGTTTCAATGTTTCCGTCACTCGGGATTTTGTGAGGGGGGCCCAGCTTCGCATTGCCAAGGCTCGACATGCCAGGCTGGATAATGTAGTAAATCCAACAATGAACCATACCCAGTTCATCCCAGTTCAACAATTTGGGGTTTATCATGAACTAACTAAACTGCATGCAGGTTTGTTCGTGTATGTACTGTCCGAGACGGAATTGCGAAATAGATGGTTTTTCCTCCAACATCAATAGGCGACCAGCGGTATATATTTGACATTGCACACCGGAACATACTGGAACTTTCTCTTGAAAGGGTTTGGATAAGCAAACTCTTCTGATGGCTGGCTCGACGGAAATCTACAGGGCAGAGGATTATTGGTCTATCTCTCCATGTTTCTGGCTTGTTTTGTTTAATATCCCCATCGAATTGTTTTCACTTCCTACTTGAGCTGCAAATGTATCAACTAAAAAAACGTGCTTCATCCCTAATTTAAGGTAAAGAAACATAGTTTGAGTTGGGTAGGTTGCCGGGTTGATTTGCTTATGGGGGTATATGCGGACACACACTAGAGTGATCTTTTTTTTTGTTTGCTAAGATATCTGGGTATCTAAATTATTCTACATTCATATCTATTTAAATTTCTATTATATATATATATATTTGAATTACACTAGCCCTAAATGTCAACTGTGCCCTTAAAAATCACCTTGCGGACGGAGAGCGCCAAGGTGTCTGTGCCTCCAGCTGCCTTGTTATGCTTGGGCCGGGCACCAAATCGGTGAATGGTCGCCTTTTTTTTCCCAACCCCATGAAATCACCAGAAAATCCATTGAATCCCACTAAATCCCCTTTAAATCCCACTAAATAAACATGGCTATATATTTGATTCTATTGGATGGTATAAGATGGTATAAGCCCATTCTCAGACGCAATCACGACTCAAATGGGACAATTCTGTTTAAGCCATGCCTACTTGGGTGTGTTCCCATGAGATTCCCATTGAGCATTGATGTTGGCCAACCAAGCATCAATGACGAGGAAACTTCCCAAAGGGAATGCTCGGTGTCACCATGTTTGCTAAGGCCAAGTTGCAGCTGGAATTCGTGAGATGAACTGGCCCAAGATGTGCGGCGGTCACAGATATCCAAGGGGATACCCCAGGGCCTAAAAAAGATGGATTTCTACATGGCAAGACCGGACCTGTTCCCTGTTCTTTGGATGGATCAAGTATCATGAGATGATTCGTGCGGTCTACATTGGGCTTTATCCACTTCTCAACTCATCCACGTTCTGTTTGGAGCGACGATCCAGTGGCGCTCTGGGATAGGTTCACCATGTGTTTGAAACCTTGCGGGTTCCTATCTCAACAGAACGCAGATGATTTTCGTTCAGCAAGTTTTGGTTGTTTTCCGGCAAAAGCCTCTCACAATCTCCATCAATCTCCCTATCCTGGGTGATGTTTTACTCGCCATTTGCTTAGCTAAGTCATGGAAGATCCGAATAAGTCATTGGCAAAATTGGCAAATGGCTCTTGCTCAGACTTGTTGACCTCTTCTTTTCCATTCTTTGATACCCAAACGCAACGTGGCAACGCAGCACAGGTACAGAGCCCTCGAGATTCTCACGCGTTTTCTGATGCCTTGCGAGTGTGTCACATGGCAACAGGGGCCCGATGTGGGTACCAGAGCTAAGTAAAGAATGGCAATCTTTCTATGGCCATCATGTTGCCTTTGGGATAGAGATATAACATTATACAACTTAGAGGCACATGGAGTTTGTGGTTTTACCATGTTTTACCTGATGGTGTCTGTCTCAGCCTGGATAACTCACCACAAAGACAAAGGATTGCTCTGTTTTGCAGGGCACATCACTGTTGATGCGAACTAGCAGTTGCAAGTAAGATAGGGATATAGGGGTACTGTCATGGAGGTTTGGTTGGTACTTCCCAAGATTCTTCACAATGAATCCCAAGTCATGACTCTCTCCTATGGACTTCAGCTTGATGGTTTCCCGGCCAGGGATGATACCCAGGTCACTCTATACCTGGTGGAGGAGGGGGGACGGTACTTGCGAAGAGCCACTTGGATGGAGCTGTTACTTGTGGCTTCCAGCATAGGCACACACTGAGTATATTGGGGACACCAGAACTTCAAGCAGTGGCTGTGCTGCGGAAAACTTTGGAAGTTATGAATTTGGTAGTTACTCTCGCAGAACAGCACAAAATACAATGCACAAGTGGATTGGACATCATCTGGGGTGATTGTTGTTGCGACCTCACCACTATTTCACTGTAGGATTCTTATCAAGAACAAACTACCCAGGACCTCAAGATGACCATATAATTTTCGATTTGGAACATATAATAAGTATTCATAAGTATTCATGACCTATGCTGCGAAACTGGTGAAAGTTTATGGCTAGAAGATCTTCGAGCAGGTTGCAAATTGGATAGGTCCAGAGATGGGGGAACATTGCGGGACAAGAACCATCACGAGTGTTCCACACTACTTGCAAACCTAGGGCCATGCCGCAAATAAACTCTTGATGAAATCTCAATTTCAAAGCGTGCCATAATCTGGAAACGGTGAATTTTGCAATTAAATGTATGATTGGATAAGTTGTGTAAGTGGGGGTATATGGCCATAATTCAAAGGGGCCCCCATATCCCAACTTCTAGGGGTAGATATGCGGTTTAGAACACCTCAACTGCACCCCGAAATAGCAGGGTGATGTCAGAGTTAAAACGTTATTTATACACACTCTGGTAATCAAACGTGGCAATGGGAAATCCCTTACAAGTGGAGATTTTGATTACCAGAGGGCCGGAGGGTAGTTATGTTTTTCCAACCAGCACTGACAAGAAAATCCCATCCTCCTGATCTGAAATACCCCCTCCCCCAGAAAAAATGGTTTTGTCATGTTTTATGGTTTTGAATTTTTGGTGATCCCCATTTCGGAACAGTTCAACCATCTACCATCTCAAGCCCACAATTGTGATGGCACTATCTAAATTGTACCCTATGGATCCATTTAAATTTGTTTGAAAACATCTTATTTATATGATTATGGTTATTATTCACATTATACCCGATTCTGATCGATTCTGTGCATTTCGGGGGCGGACATCAATTCTCTGTCTCTATGTCTTGCACGATAGGTGAATACATTCCTTGATGCTGTTCCACCAGACCGTCGAGGGCCGAGTCTCCAGCCGGTGTCGGAGCGGCGTGGCGGGTCGAGTGCTGTTGCAAGGGAACGGTATAAGCATCATGACGTCATCATGGGGTTAACCGGGTTAAGGGTGGTTGATAAATTTGATAACCCTGTACGGTCTGCTTTCGAGACTTTCCTCGAACTAGCGGGGCCTGGACACTCCGCAGTTAGTTCACACAGCAAGAAAATACCATCCTGAAAATTGAGATGTAGCCCAAAACAAAATGCATATATATATATATACATATCCGCAAGCTTTTTCACATACAATATAATATATGTACATGTTTTCATCTAAACATAAGATATCATAAGATCTTAGCCACAGCTCACTTGACATACAAGCTATTGTCCGGTTGAAAGAAGCGATTGCTGCAGCAGTGGCATGGATTAATCGACCCTCAATTGCTCTGCAATTGGATGATGTGGTGCTCAAAAACCATGAAACTCAAAAGCTCAGTGAATCATCAAAAACATCTTGATTATGTATGTATATATATACATGACATTATTGTACATATGTATATATTTCAGATCAATTATATCCCCACATGTTTCACAGTCTACTTTCTTGACCACTTCCAAACTCTGGCGGCCACCTTTTCAGCTGCGAACCTTGCAGGAGAACACTTTGGAGGGCGCGTGCGCGATGATGCCTGACTTCTTTGGATCCCATTTGCTACATCCAAGGAAATGAGTGTGTCATATCCCCTAAAATTGCAGATTTTAGTATACATAGGGGAACTATGGGCAACTTATGATCAACCATCAAATTTTGGGGTAGCCAAATTTCGGTTGGACCCAAAGAAAAAGGATATCTTGGATGCATACTGGATACGTCCTGGTTATTAGTCAATTTAAAAGCGATCACTTAAGGTTTCAATGCTGGGGACATACTTTGACAGTCGGACAGTGCGCAGCCTGACGCATACAAGGCATAAGGATCACGTTCTTCTGGTTGGTGGCTTCAACCAACTATTTTGTAGTATCCAAACATAGGGTGATGACTGTGATGTTGTTGATGATGATGATGATGATGATGACGAAATGATGATGATGATGATGATCATGATGATGATGATGATGAGGACGACGACGACCACGACCACGACGACGACGACGACGACGACGACGATGGTCATGGTAATGGTAATGGTCATGGTCATGGTCATGGTCATGGTCATGGTCATGGTGGTGGTGGTGGTGATGATGATGATGATGATGATGACGGTGGTGGTGGTGGTGTTGGTGGTGATGGTGGTGATGGTGATGTTGATGGTGACGGTGAAGACGATG